CAAACAGCTTCGTCCTGAGGCATCGCAGCCCCAATGAAACCAAACAGCGTCATCCTGAGGCATCGCAGCCCCAATGAAACCAAACAGCGTCATCCTGAGGCATCGCAGCCCCAATGAAACCAAACAGCGTCGTCCTGAGGCATTGCAGCCCCAATGAAACCAAACAGCATCATCCTGAGGCACCGCAGCCCCGATGAAACCAAACAGCATCATCCTGAGGCAACGCAGCCCCGCTGAAATTAAATAGCACCATTCTCAGAACCAACAGTTCCAGTGAACCAGGCTGGATTCATTTATCCATTATTTGGGAGCCAAAGAGTAGACTGACAGTATGAGAGATGAGAAGTCCATGGGGCAGACAGGCAGTGAAAAGCGATTACCTAAGGCAGATTCCCTCAATCCAGTCTTCAAGGGACTTGCAGAGCTAGCTGGGAGGGAGCAAAAATGTGGACTGTCTGCAGGTGCCCGAGGACCAGATTATGAAACACACACACCTACAGAAATCGGCATCCAAACAGAGAAATATGCCAGATACAGATGCATCAGGTTGCTTTAACTGTCCTGGCTTTTCTGAAAAAAATATTTCACTAATTATACACCACAGCTAAGCACAGATCTGTGGTAGATACCACAGGGTTCCATTCGAGTGGAGAAGTTCACCAAGCCCAGATCCCAGGGAATGCACTTGGAGGTACGGCAGATCCCACACCTCCCCACCCAGCCAGGCTGCCTCCCCCTCACCTGCCCCACGCTGCACATTCGATCAAGATTAATCCAGCCCTTACTATTTAAGAGTGCTATTTTACTTTTACAGTTTTAACTGAAAGTTGCTGTGGCAAAGAGCCAATTTAAACAAAGCCATGTGAAATGGAGTGTGCTGGGATAGTGAAAATAACAAGGCTATCTGTGACAGGTACTCCGTGACAGCGACAGCAGCCCCTGGGGTCAGCCTCCCCCTCCACAGACTGCCCCCTGCTGGTCCGTCTTTAACGATTCTGCATTCACTTATGATCTGAAGAGAGGCCGCTCATAAAACCATAAAACTTTCATAAAACCAAACCACAGAGGAATGACAGAGCAAAAAAAAAAAAACGGTGAAAAAGAGGGCTTTGGGTTCTGTGCCAAAGAGCACCGATGGTCCCATATGCTTCACCAACACCTTTCGAAACAGAGCATAAAACAAGCAGGACAAATGCAAAACCGCATAAGCAAGTTTTTCATTTTTGCACACTATTCATAAATCTAGCCAGTTATCAGCAGAAGGACAATCCCATATCCACACGAATGATAAGGTTTCAAAGGAAGAACCAGCAAACATGCGGTGTGTCTGGAGATGCTCTTAAACTCTCACTTGACAGGTGATGATGTTTCAGTGCACACTGCTGTACTTCATCTGGACTGTATACAACAACACACACACACACACACACACACACACACTCTCTCAGCTTCTTTGGCTCTGTGAGTCATAGCGAGGGCCTTAGATCTTGCTGTAGGCTGGTGAGGAAACCTTCCCCCTGAGGTGGAGAGGATAATTGGAGATAACGACTATCGCCAGGCCCAGCTGATGCCAGCATGGTGCCCCGGCCCACGTGGTCATTACCCCCCTGCTGGGGCACATGGGGGGGCCCATTCAGGGAGCCCTTCATCCGGCTACCTGCTGGTGCGGAGGAACAGAGAGCTGGCAGGGGCGTGACGGGCCCAGCGGCATCTGGCCCATCTCCGAAAACAGCAACACTACAGTCTCCTGCAAACACGCTCCGAAGAGGTGAAGGGTTCAAACCCTGACGACAAACAGAAACATCATAAAATGTGCTGAAGGCCTACAATGGCCATTCAAAGTCACAGTTCAGACACGTTGCAGTCTGATGATGGGCATCCGGTCTAGAAGAGCAGTTGCCCCAGAGTTCATCTTCACACGCTTAATGTGGGGGCTTTAACCGCTTCCCACCAGGCAGCTCCTGGAGGTCCAGCAGAGGGAGGGAGGCCTCCCCACAGTGCAGACACAAAGCAAGACCTGCTGTAGATCACGCGTGACATCCTGAGCTTCAGAGGTGGTTGGCAGTGGCACACAGACCAACGTTCAGCCGGGAAGCCCTATGGGCAGCCCTCACATTCACCAACAGAGCAGCGGTCTTCCAGGACAAGCTGCTCATTCGATGCTGGCTTTGAGCGTCACACGAGCACCGGCGGTATGGAACCCAACGTTGAGTGCAAAGCCAAGCCGGCGTACACGAGTCTGTGGGATTATAGAGCACTTAGAAAAGTGCTTGGGGACCACACCGTCATGGCAACAGAATCAGCGACCCATACGCTGATCCCAAAGGGGGTGGGGGGGTCACCATGGTAACCACTTCCCAAAACACACCAAATGGCAGGTCAGAATGCCCTGCCTGCCCTCCTGCTGTACCTGGGGGGAGATGAGGGGGGGGGGGGTTGCTATGAGCTTCTCATCACCTAAATTCAGTGTTTCCAAGATGGAAAATAGGAGGTCCACACGGTCACACCCAGCAGAGAGACAGACAGGACATCTAACCGCTAACATGCCGAATCAGAAGAAACCAGGCCTGCAAATATCCCGTGGGTGATTGCTGGCCTTCCCAAGACGGTACGTGCCCCCCCTGCTCCTCCTCGAGATCTGAGCTGCCAAGCGGCCTTTTCTCTCCATGGGTGGAGGGCGTGAGCGTTTCCAATCTGAAAACACGATGTCCCTCTGTGGACGCTGCTTCTATTTAAAGAGCGCTTACTTGGGGCGTGACGGCTAATCCTGACTCACCGTCAATAGTGATCCGCACCAAAAACAGACCACTGTCCAATGGCTTATTTTCAAAGCAGTGAGCCAGCGGCTTCTGGAAGCAGCATTACTTGCGGCTTTGATTACCTCAGTGCTGTTCTTGGCATGAACGAGCATTCAGTCCTTCAGTCAGTCTGGAATGGGGGGGGGGGGGAAATCGGGCACAGCCCTTAATTGGTCCACCTCCTACCCAAACAATCTGCACCAGTATGTTCAGATATCTAATATCAGCACTGCGTCACTGAGTGATCATTATCTGCATCTAAACTGTGACTAAACAGAAATCCCATTACTAGAAGGTAATAACAACGATCCCCATGTCCTGTTATCAGAATTTAATACTTAGAGCTTATATTCCAGCTCCGGCAAATCAGTTCACAATTGGTGTGTAATTGTCCGCTTCAGACAGCTCAGAAACATCACAAAACAAGATGTTTTCTAACCTTTCATGGCACTTCTACAGTATGTAGAGGATTAGACTCCTGTAATATGCTGCTCTTAGCAAAACACACCACACTGTCAAGACACAGCAGCAAGAACAGTAACCGGTGTGAATATGACCAAAGATTAGCTACCCAAATGTGCCCCAAGGGCTTCTGGGTAAGTATTGAACTGATCAAGGCATCCAATCCAGAGCAGACAGATTTGGAATGCAGGACATCTTGAAGATTTCTCAAACCAATAGAGAGCGTTGGTGATAGCATCTTCAGGGTGTTTACATGCGGACTGTCGCTGTAGCCCAGTGCAGCATGACAAAGGCTGCTGGTGCTGCTGCTGCGGGTCAGAAACCAGCATCCGCACTCAGCCACTGAATCTCCACCCTCTCCATGCAGATTCAGGGCTGTAGGGTTCTACACAAACACACAGAGTATTCATATCTGTATAACTCGCTATCTGGGATCCCAAGGTGCCTCGTTGTTCAGTGGGTGCGGCAATACTCTTACCAGGGCATGTTCCTCAACCTGACTTCACCCGATACATTTTTATAAAATTGAGGTCATCCTTGTGAGGACCGAAAAAATGCCCCCACAAGGTAAAAAGTTACAGGTTTTGAATCGCAATGTAATTATTGCAAAAACGCACACACCTCATCAGACACTAAATCAATGACCTCAGACAAAACGTCAGATTGTTAAGATAATTACTAAAGTCACGTCAAGACAAACATGGAAAGGGATGCCAATTCTGACAGACACCAGTGTTCCTAACACACACCCTAGCTGAGCGACGTCATGAAGGCTTCATTAGGATGGTGTCTCTGCCTTCTGTAAACCCTCTGGAGATGACCACACTCCAACAAACACGACTATGAATGATGGATCACACCCCCGAGTCCTGCCCCAATGTGCAAAAAGCGTCTTTTTCACAGGGACACTGTACAGGACATCTTGAAAAATCAGCACGTACATCCACACCAGGAGGGTGAGATCAGCCGTGGCCGAGCACAGGGAGCGGGACAACGGCACGCAGGGTGACGGCGGGACAACTGCACGCAGGGTGACGGCGGGACAACGGCACGCAGGGTGACGGCGGGACAACGGCACGCAGGGTGACGACGGGAGGGACGGTGGCCATGCTCCGGTGCCATATGGCCAGGCGAGGGACCACAACCTGGGAGCCACTTCATTATGGTGTGACAGAGCCGACCCTGGCTGTCACACTGGCTCTGTATCACGGATCTGTCACTTGGTGACAGCGGGATAGTCATGATGACAAACTAAATTCAGTCAGCTTTCCTGTGTTCCAGAACCAGACAGCACGCAGACACACACACACACACACACACACACACGCACACACACACACACACACACACACACATATATATAGTTGCTGCTTTGAAAGAAAATTCCTCCTTCAGGGGTTGCCTAGCAACAGCACACAGCCAAAGACCGTCATGAAAGATGATTAAAAACAAAAATGCCTAAAAGCTGCTGAGAGGTAAATGTCATCAAGGTCCGCGCTCATTACCATGTTACACTCATGACACACGCGTTCACTTTCACTCAACACAGGTTCGCTGGTAACGCTGTACTGGGATAAACCGGGATACTGAGTGGTCATGGGGCACTTTGGGATCCCAAAACAATGGTACCTCCCGCTGTCTGACATCACTGCAGGCTGCCAGTCATCCCAGTGTAAATCAGACCTTGCAAAGTTACGTAACAGATATTTTCATGAAGACAGACATTCCACTAGCTTGGGGGTGGGTGTTTGGAGTCGCAATCCATAAGCCCTCGGTCTTCTCTCACAGTACATGACTGAGATAGCGACAGGGGGCGTTTCAGGAAGAATTGTGTTTAATGGACAACTTGCTGGTTTAGGGTGGGATATTCGGATGGGATACTGCAGGCTACCTATGGAGCAGCAACAGGGGCAGGTGATGCAAGGGCTGCAGGTTCGACTGCGTTTCCTAAGGAACACGGTGTACCTGACTGCTCTGACCACAGGCCGCTGTCAGGAGCACAGGCCGCTGGCAGAGCACAGGCCGCTGGCAGAGCACAGGCCGCTGGCAGAGCACAGGCCGCTGGCAGAGCACAGGCCGCTGTCAGGATCACAGGCCGCTGTCAGGATCACAGGCCGCTGTCAGGATCACAGGCCGCTGTCAGGATCACAGGCCGCTGTCAGGAGCACAGGCCGCTGGCAGGAGCACAGGCCGCTGACAGAGCACAGGCCGCTGGCAGGAGCACAGGCCGCTGTCAGGATCACAGGCCGCTGGCAGGAGCACAGGCCGCTGGCAGGAGCACAGGCCGCTGGCAGGAGCACAGGCCGCTGGCAGGAGCACAGGCCGTAACCTTTCCCCAGGGAAAAGCTCTGACTGAAAGGCACGTTAGAGAGGCAGCAGACTGCAGAGACAGCGAGAGCGCCCCCCAACTCCCTGGGCAGAGTTACCCCCATCATTCCCCCCGCGCTGGAATTAATCAGGCGTACCGCTGAACTCCTACAGGAAAGCGAACTGGGAAGCTGGGAATGCGCCGGTGCACAGCAGGACACGGAGGAGGCCGGTACCTACATGACCGTGTTGATGCCAGACAGCTGTTGGAACATCTGCAGTCCGCAGCCCACGATGAGCGCCCGCCGTGTGGGGGGGTAGGTCAGCATGCGCCAGATCACCAGGCCACCTGGGGGGGAAGCAGAGAGGTGGGCGTCAGTTCCCGTTCGGGCTGCGAGTCATACATAAAGCCGCCGTCTGGGAGGGATGCAGGAGCGCCCAATCAGCATTCTGCGCTTCCTGTCTGGAGGAGATGGGGCAGTGACTGCATGTCGGTTATGCGGCGGGAGGGTGGAGTGGGTACGCCGACTGTAATTCTGCTTAGCTTGGCAGGGTGTGGGCACCAAGACAGCGGCCGCATTGTCTCAGGAACGCCAGTCTGACAGCGTTTGCACTTCACGGATCAGGGAGGTGTCCGGCGATCATTAGCAAGCCAGCAAAATACCAACGAGGGCTCCGCTGGCAGAACTTACCGGATCTTACGGGAACATTTCATTGGATCAACAACTCAGCCCCTGCTTTCAGCATAAAGCTGCCTGATTCCTGACCCTCACAGGACCCCCCCCCCACCTGCAGGGCAGAATCGGCATGGAGGCACAGTGACAATTCAGAAACACGTCATACGGACGTTCAGGGAAAGCCCAGAAGACGCGATGGGGGAGTCCAAGCATAGGCACAGCCTGACGTGTAGAACCAGCAGAACTTATGGATTTTAATCAACTTTGCGGGTTACCCCCGTTTTTCTTTTCTTTTTTTCTTATTTTGTAGCACTTTGAGATTTGTCTCAAACATATAGTGCGTTACAAATAAAAGGTATTGCCACACCAGCAAACAGCCACACCACGGCCAGCTAAGTCTTCAGGTCGACCCTCTGCACTTACACTACAGAGATGACCAAGAGTCACCATAATACAGCAGAGTGAAAGGAGACACCACGAGGGCTAAATTCAGGTTCACCGGCAAAGTCTTCAAGGGATGTTAACAGAAGTCGTTTAACCTTAGAGAGAAGTTATCCACAGACTGCAGAGAATGGTGGTGACAGGAAGAGGAATGTGATGGCAAAATGGCAGAATCTTGGAGTCATGGACTGACAGTCTATATCGGCCAACGAAGCACACGTCTCCACCTCTTTCCTGGACACCCTGTAAGCTGCCATCCATGTCCTACTGCTGATCCAAGAGAGAATCTCTCAAGCAGTCTATGGTGGCCAACACCCTGAATGTTAAATGTTACACGTTAACAGCCCATGAAAAAGTTACAGGGACAGTTAGGTAGACGTATCTGGAGAAGATATCATCCAATAATCAGGGCGATTCAGAGCGAGGAACCAATGAAAATACCACCTAAGCCACAGGGAGCTAACATCTTCACATGTGTACGCCTCCACTCTGCGAGGATGAGTCATTACATGGACAGACACCGTAATATTATCTGCTCTGAAACGACACCGGCATCAGTGAGGGAAAGATTGCCGTTTGTTGGCTTTAACCTGCAGCAGAGAGCCCCAATTATCTGATTTCCCCCGGACATCATTAATCCTTAATGACCAGTCCTCCTATTATACACTTGTCTCCGTGTTTCGTCCCACAATGACCTTGTTACTGGGTGTCGTGTTACTGGTAAAAAGTGGCGTTTTTTTCCACCAGGCACCACGCACCGCTGATTAGTGGCGGGGGCCGCCGTTTCTGGGGGAGTGACTGAACGGCCAGAGCTGCGACACGACCTGGCCAAACTTCACAGGCTCCCTATATCTGGTGACACTTTAAAGAAAATAAGAAATGGAGAAAAGGTTATACCGCAGCTTTTCAAAAGCAAACCGACAAGTGGACATGACAATGCCTCCCCCTGGTTCAGATGCGGCCCAAAAACCATGTGACCGATGCCCTGTGATTCATCAGCAAGCACCTGCTGATAGGACAGGAAGGGGCATCGGTGCCGGCGCCACACGACCGATACCCGACACAAACAAGCCCGACTCAGAGAAACCACACGCCTGCCAAGCACACCGGGAAAAAAAAGGAAAAAGCAATCAGCTAAAAGTCCAAAGAGTCACGTCCACATGGACTCACAAACCCACAAAGGCGGCTTTCAGCATAAAACAGACCCCCTGCATTAGAGACTGACCAGTGATGCAGGCAATTTTATCAGTGTGTATGCAGGTTTTTGGGATAACCTATAGGTCAGCTGTTCAAACCAAGATGAAGGACTCTTCAGCCAATCAGTCCTCTAATTAGTAACACAATTAGGGAGCTGCAGCGATATCCCGCATACACAGCGGCCCTTAGCGGATAAGATTGCCCACCCCTGCTCTAACGGCTTGGAGAGGACCGACTTGGCAGGCAGTGCTGCTTCTGGTCTGGACTTAATGAAGTGGGCCAAGGGAGAACGGAAGGTCTGCCGCAGTCTGCGCTCACGTGGCTTTGGTCAGTCGGCGCCGTCTGCAGCGCTCTCCGGTACGAGGGCCCTGGAGGGCTTCCCGTTGCTAGGAGTCACTCCTGCTGGAGTACCGGGCTGTGCTCCTCCCTCTGGGATGTGCTCTGAGGAGCGAGCAGGCAGAGCTCACCAGCTGCACCAGGAGGTGTTCAGGGGCCCTGCAGAGCTGCTCTTAAGGGCAGAGCCCTCACACACCACTGACACTATGCTCTGAATGGGCCACATGTACAGGATGTGTGGATGATCTCAAATGTATGACTGTACTGACACGGGCCAATTAACAGCAACTGAAACCGCAGTGTTGAGCAATGCGAATGCCAAGTGGCATTTATGTATACAAAGACTACAAAGAGGAACAGAGAAACAGACTGATGACACATCCCACCGAAAGCAAAGTGTGCTTAGTGTATCTAAAACTACTGTCGTGGCTCCTGCTTCCTCCGTAAAAAGGGGAAGGTGTCCCACTGTGTACAGGAGAGCAGAAACATGGACACCGATTTCATTTCCCTCTGTGAAGCAGCACCGTGATTCTCCATAATCCGGCTGCCATGTTATCCAATCACGTCGTTTCGAACCCCGGGCCGGTCCTTCTCCAAAGCAAGCGGAAGAGCTCACAGGCGTCACTGCTGCCGGGGAAAGGTGCCAAGCCAGAAATAGCCCTGGAGGGCAAGGACTCAAACCCCGAAGGACACCCACAAGAATAAGGCAGAGGCTGACTATTCAGATCCACATCCATGGCATTCAAAGGACTGCAGGACACATTTCTGACAAGGAGGCCCAATGATAAATCTCCTACAACAACCGGCACCATAAAGCTCCAAGAAATAACAGGTTTTTTACCCCCAGAAAGTGAAAACAATCACTGAAGTTTAACTAGTGGTGAGAGGCGTAACTTCAGGGTTCCGAGGAGTTTATGCTAAAAGTGTCTCTGCTGAAGGGGACGCAGGTTGGGCGTCGCCATGGGAACCTAAAACATTTGGCAGGCAGGCCAATGAGCAGCAGGCGACATTTAGAGAACACTGACCATGTGACATAGTGGACATATTGACCCCAGTGTGGAGCAGCAGTGACCCAGGGAGGAGGCCCTGGAGCTGGGATCTGGGACCATGTGATGGGGGGGTGGGGGTGGGGGGGAGGTAACCCAGTGCCCTGACTGTTGGTGTACAGTGCAATAAAAATAAGTAATCCTGGTACATACTGTCTGCTTCACTCTCATTAGAGGGGACAACTACAGCTAGGGGAATATTCATCAAGATCAATTTTTGTTTTAATGGCTTTCATATACACAATTTTTACCAACGTATTTCCCTGAATGAATCATTCGCAATTCTGTAATTCCGCAAACAGTAAAGGCTGACGAACTGACCAGCAAGCAGGGACAAAGTTCAGCAGAATTGCATGTCGAAGCAGACGCATCAAATGACGTTACTGTTTACTGCTGGATCCATCCCAGGGGCGAGATGTAAAGGATCATTCATGCCTCACACCTTGGGGAGCTGCCGTGAAGCGTGCGCTCTGGAGCACGGGATCTCGGATCAATGACGGAACACAGATCCGCACTGTCACCGCAGGCTAAGTGACAATCCCAGTGTAAAGCCACAAATAACCACTATTACCAAAAAAATATAGTGGCGGGGCCCTTAAAGGCCAGGGAGGTCATAAATCACCCTGAGAGTCCGGGGGGGAAGGGGGTCCGTCCATGGGCTTTTCCGGAATTAATCACAGGACATACATATAGCCTTTCAGCATCACTCACAGCCAGAAGGGAGTTACATGGCAGTGACCAGAGCAGGAACCATAAGGAGGACTGAATGCAGAAGGGACACAAAGCACGTCCCCAAAGAGGCCAAGAAGGGCAGGAGGCCCACATGCATGATATCCACCCTCACAAGGTTAATTACAGAGCTGGACTGGCCTGCCTGACCATTTATCCTGGGCCATCAGTGGAAATCTGAGCCAACTGCAGCTGTTCTGTGGATCGAGATTACTGCTGATTTTAGATCCACAGATCCACTATCACTGATCAGCCTGCAGCTTGGGGGGGGGGGGTGAAAGAGCAATCACCCTCCTAACCAATCACAATGGTGAAACCATGTTCCTCAAACTCTTCTCATCATGGACTACAAAGCAATTTTGCACCATAAAATCAGACCTTCAGTTTGATGGTGCACCGATGCACAGAAAAGAGACACTACCCCAGGACTGGTGACCGGGGTCAGGTCTGTCCCACAGCAGCAATTGGCACATCAGCACCATCGCATCTACATTGACCTCCACCTATGGTTCCTCACCAGGCTCATGCATGCAGGAGTTCATCAGCAGACAAACATTACCCTGAAATAACGAGCACTTACAGTAACTCTATGCATAATTTTCAGTGATTACTGGCAACAGAGTCGTGCTGCAGATGGATGTGCAGTGCTGCTTAAAGCCAACCCAGGCAGGTCAGAGAGGTCGTGTTCAGCTCCGGCTGAGCCGTGGGGGGCAGGATGCGGGCTGGAGGGTGTGAGCCAGCCCCCAGTGCAGGTGTGTGAGTAACATCTCTGCCATCTCACCCCCCATTGGTGCCTTACTCTGCACCAGGAAACACATTTTCCAAAGAAAAGTTTGAGTATTACATATTAGATAGCATTAAAAAGACATAACTTAATATAAAAGAAATTAGAATATACAGCACTCACAGAAAGTCTTGGGATGCTTAATTCTGTAAAAAAAATGTACATTTATTGGTTTCATAAAAGACCATTGACAAGCAATTGAAAATGTTTAAACCTACTCGCTGTAAGCAAATGTCCCAAGACTTTGAGAGCACTGTACGTTACTAAGCGAACAGTAACTGTGGGACGCTTTCCCCAAACCTCTACATTAAACTGCAGAAGCAAGTTGGGTATCGAAGGATAACCAAAGAATGCTTAATTTCGCCTAAGCCTAACCCGATCCAGCCTAACCATAAACACCCAAGTTTTGCTAGACAAATCGCAGGCCCGTGCCATCGAAAGGCCTCACACACACAGGGCCGGGAACATGGCAAAGCTCAGCACATAATATGCTCCACAGTTTCGCATGCAGCTCGACTGCCATGTGACACATTGGCAGGATGGTCGAGATTAATTTCCCATCTGTGAAGCAGAACACAACATGTGAGTGTCACCCATCTGCCACCTCAGCCCGTGATCAGCGATCTGCACCTTAAAGACAAGCGCCGAGGCATAAGCGGGGAGAGCGGCTTCTGGCCACATGGGACTGCCCGCCCCCCCAGGACATTAATCACGCTTCCCTCACTCACAATCACAATAACAATCTCAGCCACGTAGCGGCTGCCCCGCACGGCCAGCCGAGCGCAGAGCCCATCATGCCTCTGCCAGACGGCACTCCGCTGGCGCTGCAGAAGGGCCTGCCTGGTCTCTGAGCTTTGGAAGGCACTGTGCTGATTACACCGCAAAATGGCCAAACCGCCTGAACCCCAGGCATGCGCTTGCCGCCCTGCCCTGAGGAGGCGGGAGCCCGTGAAAAATCATTTCGCAGATTGCAGTCTTTCAGCTCCGGTTCCCAGTGAACTTTGGGGTCTCTCAGAGCGACCGCCCCCCCCTCCCCCCGCCCAAATGCAATCAACACAGCAGAGCAGCCATCACAGAGAAGTGACCCTGCTATCAAACTGAGCTACAGGAGGAAGCTGCTCCATTCTTAAAATGAGAATCAATGCCTTTAAAAGTCCTTTTTATAAACGGCAAAGGAAAACTACCCGAGTGTTAGAGTGAGGGAGACGGGGGATTTCCCTCAGCCTCACTTTTGCCAAAAAATTACAGGTTTCTCAAAAAAAAAAAAAAATAAATAAATAAAGGCACTAGACCAGACCTTAACAGAGGTGCAAAATTCTCATAAAATCAGCAAAGTCATTCCCGCATTACAATGTTTAAAGTTAGAAGTGTTAAAAGTGCAAACACGGAAAAGTTTTCAAAGTCTGACCCTTGCAGAGTAATCAGGGAAGATAGATTTTAGCCAAGTAGAGTGTCATGGGGAATTTCCTGACTCTTTATAACCATAAATTTTGAAAATCTATTTCAGGATAGTTGAGCACCTTTTTAAGGATCCCTGCGGAAATATTCTCAGATTTAATACAACTAAAAGGCTGGATGGGCCCAAACCACTCAGCACTGACCGCTGCATTTCAGCGATTTCCTGCATCCTGCAGAATGCACCAGGATGAATCAGGCCATCCATGCAATATTTAAACTGCATATTTAGTACAGAAGAGTTTGCATGTTCTCTCCAATCCCTGAAGGGGTTTGGTAGACTGATGCTGATGTGTGTGTGTGTGTGTGTGTGTGTGTGTGTGTGTGTGTATACGTCAAAGGTATCCCTGGCAACTGCCCTGTTCTGCCTGGGATGGGCTGCTGGTTTCCTGGGACCCTACAATCGATAAGCAGTTACAGAAAATGGATTAATATCCAGGTCATATTCTGTCAACTTTCTAAATACTCTTTCCAAAATGCATGGGAACAAGTGGCGAAAACGCCGACACTCTGTATTCCCATGCGGAAGTCAGCTTCAAGACAGGAATCGGAGAGCTTCATTCAGCAGCAAGATGCTGCTAGATGTTGTGGCATGCATTCTGACCGGGGTCAGGAGATCAGCGCAGCGCTGCGATGTGTACAGTGGGATGCAGTCCTCCCGAAATAAGGCAGGCTGATCACACAGCAGATAAGCATCAGCTAGGATGCTTCAGGACAACGGTAAGCAAAAACAAGCCAAAATGTATTCGACGATTAGGAGCACGTGTGGGCAGGTTAATCAGCAGTAAGGATGGCATCTATTCCATCAGCTCGCCGAAGACCATCAGATTACTCATGCATTTGGACTTCAGCCATAGAGGACACTGGATGCAACTTACATTACAACAAACCAAAAGCAATACCTCACAGCAAATCGGTGAACTGAGCATGACCGATGCAAAGCAATGGAAAAGCAGCTCTGAAAATTGGCTAGCATCATTTACATGTGGCCCCGATAAGCAAATCATATCGGACCAGCCCTTTCCCCAAACAAATGCTGGCTACCACAAATCCAATTAACCGCAGGATCTTTCCGCTGCTGCTGGGCGTTCTGTGTAATAAAAAAAATTTTTAAAAAAAGTTAAAAATTGAAATTTGCTGATAAACACGATTAAGAGTTACAGCTGAGCAGGCCAGACAGCACAGATGATAGACGCCTGGAATTTTTTTTGGATACATCCTTAGTCTGCCGTTCTGGAAGGAATACGACGGGAAGCCCCCAGTAGTGCTACCGGGGCGGCCTCTAGAGCAGCGTCTCTCAACCCGGTCCTCGGGGAGGCCCCTAGAGTCCATGTTTTTGCTCCCTCCCAGCTGTCTGGGAGGTCCTGAGGACCGGGTTGGAAAACACTGCTATAGAGGTGCTGGTGCAACGTTAACGGACCCATTCGCGTTGCTGCGATACAGGTAAACAGCACAGAGGCACCTTCTGCTGCCGTTTCCTCCATCTGTCCCTCAGTCGATTCACACCCCACGTGCGAGGCGTCGCTTAGCGGCCCCAGCAGCGTGAGCCACATGGCGCAGATGCACCGCTGCATCACAGAGGAACCCATTCACAACCATCTCCTCATACTCCTGCTAAAACAAAACACTTCAAAGCTAATCCGCATCCACCAACCCTGAATCAAAGTGGAAGAATAACGACCACAAAACATATTATCAGGGGGGCAACAACATGATCTCACCATCTCCTGGGTGGGATTTGTCGTGTAGACACCCAAGAGAAAGTCCACAATGTTATAACAAATGAGGGATTATTATTATTATTATTATTATTATTATTATTATTATTATTATTATATTATGAAAGGCCATGGGCTGAGGAGATGGACACTGATGACAGTGGAGATATTAGAGGAGAGGTCCTTCAGAGAGTAGAATCAATTTAGATCTTTGAAGAGCCTCTCAAGAACCTCTATCTACCCCCAGCTTTTCCAACAGGGACAGTGTCTCTTGATGACCTTTCCCAGGGACATGACCCCCACGACAGGGGAGATGAATGTGATGGATGCGTTCTAGCAAACTGGAGGTTAGTGTCGGGAAAATCATGCGTTTCCCTGCCATCCCTCAGGGTGGCGTCTCTCTTAATCAAAGGTGACCCGATAGACAGCAACTGATCTCACCATTTTAGCCACGTGTCAGAATCCATCACACATCCAGTTCCTGACCAGAGGCAATCTGTCCGTCTTAAGAACAAACTTTTAATGAGGATAGCGCCATCTACATTGCTAATGCGTACAGGGTGAACACAAGGCCAAGGGGCACTGTTAAGGGGGGGAAGGAAGGACAATTCCAGGGGCTCCGGAGTAACTGGGGCCATTTAAAAAAAATTTTAAAAAAAAATATATGTAAGAGATCGATGTGTCATATTTCTTCCTCTTTTGCCTCCATGACCGCACTTTTCTCGGCACATCAGCAATAAGTTCTGGGCCGTCATAAAATGCCATCCAGCTGGAGCGGCTCCTGAAGGTAACCCTTCTTCTAAATTCCACCAGCAACCAGAACGTTTCCTGTGAAAAACCGGTGAAGGCTTGCGGCGTAATAGAGAAGGAGGGCAAGAGACGCGGCAAAGGCAACGCCGTGGACTGACCCCCAAGGAGCGGAGAGCCACTCCAGCGACAGAAACAAGGCAGGGCCTCTGAGCCTCTGCGAGGAAACAGTGTGTGAGGCAGCTTATTAAGGCCAGCATGAAGGCTCTCTCTCTCTCAGAGTCTTAGCCTTGAGTTACCCTCCTCATGCTTCCAGTCAAAGGGAACTAAAGCAGCAAAATTCAGCCTGATTTCAGCACCCAAAGCAGCTCCTCCATCTATTTTTATGCAAACAAAAAGTACAAAAGAGGGTCCCATACCTCTGTAATAAGTACAGCGCAGTGGAATGACATGATTAACGCCATTCTCAGTCACATGACAGGAAGTCTGGCCTGCCCCCTGTCCGTGGCTTCCTCTCACCTGCCGCGGAGTCCTTCTCCTCCTCCTCGATGCTGCTCTTGATGCTGTCGAACTCCTCGTCGATGTTCTGGTTCCCACGGATCTGGCTGAGCACGCGGCGGGCCTTCTGGGTCAGGCCCTTCTGGATGAGCCAGCGCGGGCTCTCCGGCAGGAAGAGGAACCCGATGAACTGCAGCAGGGCGGGAACCACCGACAGGCCCAGCATGTACCTGCGGAGGGACGGGACACGGAGACAGAGAGAAGAGACTGAGCCTCTAGCCTGAGTGAACCGTGTGGAAAGCTGACCTCGCTGAAGCCTGCCATCCACACGGAGGGTAGCCTTTGGTTTATTACCTTGAATTACATGATCCCAGTGGTGTCTACACATCGCAAACAACGTACACAACACAGCAACAGCACACAGAGTAAAAGTAGGCAGGTTTTAAGTCAAGTAAAACAGGGTTAAGTAAATCCAGTAGGGCTGTCACTACAGATTATATCAATAACCTACCGATGCATCAAGTAATCACTCATATCTAACAGGGGTGGGCAATGTTATCCGTAAAGGGCCGGTGTGTACGCGAGTTTTCACTGCAACTCCCTAATTAGATTACTAATTTGAGGACTGATTGACTGAAGGGTCCTCGCACCTGGGTGTGAACAGTTGACATAATGGGTATCCCAGTAACCTGCACACACCGGCCCTTTGCGGATAAAATTGCCCACCCCTGATATATAATATAAGTTTGCTGTTGAATGTTTTTGGACAGTGAAGGGAAGCGGAGGATGTGGCAAATAGCGATTCACACAGGATGGACGTGCGAAAAACTCCACACACAAAGGGCCGGTGTGAGGTAACAGCGCTACTGACTGCACCACTGCTGCCTGTGGCCCTGACATATATCTATATATAAATGAAAAGAATATCACCACTGCTGTCGCATGAACTCTGCATGCGCTCTCCGAGACAGTAAACCATCCCCATCCTTGCTGTTGAACCCACTCATAGACAGTGTGGTGTGTTTGCCTAGAAATTAAAAGTAGCGAGGAGGAGAAAAGCGATAGCGAACAAGATCTGGTTATGAAAACATAGCAGTCTACTGCTGCATAGAAATATTTTGCATTCCATAGACATGATATTAAGCAAAAGCAAGAGATTCGTTGGCACTGCTTTGCATCCACTGACATTGGTGGTGTTGCTGTGAGTTGCCAATTTAACAGATCGTAACGTGAACTTTTTCCAATATTGTTAGCCCAACTCAAAAACACACAATAAGTTCATAAAAATTAATATTATATGGTTATTTTGTACTGTCTTATGGAATATGATATGGCTAAGTGACAGGGCTAACCTTTGCTTTAGCAGTGATTATGCAGGAATTGTAGAAAGTAAATTAAGCAAAATGATTTTGGTCAAAGTGAAGAAAAGGTCAGGCTAGGCTCCTTCAAGAGGCTAAAAGGCACATATATATGGTTACTCTCACATTATTGGCCAAGTCCGTTCAACCTGAATGTCATCTTTTAAGATGTATTTGTATTGCAGTCATGCTGTGGTGATATTTAAGTTCTGCTTTGCAATATTGACAGACGATTGCATTTTCATTCACTTGTGAAGCGCTTCCACAGAACTGATGCTTTCACACTTTATCTGGACCCTCATCTACTATGCAACATCTTCCTTCCACCATATTGCAGAGCAATTAAAAAGGAAATTTTTAATCAATGCTATAATGATCAAGTAATTGAGTTTGAGTAAATTGAGATAGCTGTAAAATCCAGATTTAAATTAAAAAGCATCATACAACAAATCAAAAAAAGTGGAAATTTACTAAGTTCTTTAGTACGTGTTACTAGTATATTTTTGACTATTGTATATTTTTGACTATTACTAGTATATTTTTGACTTTTCTATAATGCGTCTGGAATGGTATAGGAAGGTAAATCTGACTTGCGTATAATTTGACTTGCATAAGGGTTTGTAAAACTACTTGTCAGATGATACATTGTATGTAATGTGCACAGCTAATTATCAAGCACATGCAGATACAGACTACATAAAAAACACACATGTAGTTATGTATATACACACTTGCTGTGTATTAGCTGCTTCCAGAGCTGCATTTTAATGCCATCCATCAGTTACTGAAAATCATTGTAATTACCTCCTTCAGCATTTCATTTCCAAACACAGTCCTGTGCGCCTATCAAATACCTTCCCCTGGCTGAGCTCCCCAGTGATTTTCTTGGTTGGTTTCTTAAATAACTCAGAAGACCCATGTGGCAGTCACTCACTCTGATGAACGGCACATGTGTCATCAAAATCCATAAACTCATCCTTGATGGGATGGAATTAAGCAGATTACCGAGTAATTACATTTTTTGGAAATGTGCTGGGAGACCACAGCTGCCTACTCTATGCGGCACATGATTTTGGTCTTGAAGGGACTGCAGGACGTCATTAGCCAGTGTTTATAATCCCCGTTCCAACATTAGCAGGATGGGCTTCCAGCACAAGGGGAGATATTGGATCATGGTGTCCCAGTAGCTCCCCAACTCTTCCTCACTGCCCCAGACCGCTGACTGTCAGGCGGACTTTGGCTCTGTTCATAGGCCAGGTTGGCCTACTCTGCCTGCACAAGTTCGCTGCTCTCTGTGGCCTAACTGCAAACCTGCTACTCCACACGTCTGAGGGTCCTGACCCCCCTTACCAATTTACACTAACCCTAACAGACCCTTTAAGGTCTGTTAGAGATCCTCCAACTTAAAGGGAAATTTGGGGGTTGGTGGCAGGAACCAGCCACTAGCGTGGTGCTGAGGTGTCACCCACCGCACGGCTGCACTGAGGTTCTCTCCCTCCCTGAGGTGGGTCGTTGTGTGGTGGGTGCAGCTACGCACTGTAATCAGCGCCCGCCCCTTACATCTAACACACCATAAACACATGGGTAAGGTTTGTCACTTTAGCCAGAAAGCCTACGTAGATCATTGTCCTGCATGCTTTATATTTACTTGCTACGTATTTATCCACCCGTCTGTCAGTCCGTCCATCCATCCATCCATCGCCGGGGCAGCAGTCTAAGCAAGGTTGCCAAGACCACCCTCTCATCAGCCACCTCCTCCAGCTCCACCGGGAGAATACCAAGGTGCTCCCAGTCCAGCTTAGAGACATACCTCTCCAGATTGCCCCGGGGTCTCCTCCCAGTTGGACATACCTGAAACACCTCCTCAGGGAGCTGCCCAGGAGGCTTCCTAGATACATGCCTGAACCACCTCCATTGGCTCCTTTTGATGCAGAGGAGCAGCAGCCCTACTCTGAGTCCCTCCCGAATGTCCGAGCTCCTCGCTGAGGCTGAGCCCAGGCACCCAGCAAAAGAAACTCATTGCTGTGTAATTACAACAAATCCACAAGAGTCAGTCTGCAGACAACCTTGCTATCGTGTATATTGATTGTGGTTCTGTCTGCAGGCCAGTCATGGTACTTGGGGCAGCCAGAGCCTTGGCAGAGTAAGGAGAGAAGGAATCTGAGCTGGAAGCGATTCCATCAAACGGTTTTAAAAAGGGAACGTGCCAGTGTCTAATGCAACAGTATCCGAGTCCATTATTTGCCTGCATTGTTCTGACCTGGACTACAGCAGCCGAGCAGCAGAAATACCCACTGCTATCATTCATCGGCTCAGAGACTTCAGCTCCAGTATAATCCAATGACTTTGATGGAAAATGGAGTCGAGAGAAAGAGAATTTTCTCATCTGAACAGATTTGCACCCTCTGTAAAGGTTAAAAGTATTTCAGGTCAAATTCAGACATCCGATGACATTCAGATTCATCCCCAAGGGTTTTACTGGAAACAGAAGCCTCTGGTTCTATGCCATGAACTCTACATGCAGTACCAGATGGATCTGGACCTGCCACGATGAGGTTATTGCTGGCGGTGCTGAATTCAAACCTGATTACCCTACTGGATGTCCCAGCTCAGGGCTTTAAAGAGATCAGAGGTGGTCATTAAGTTCTTCTATGACAGCAATAAGGTTTTCAGAGGCACCATGTGTTCACCCTGCTCTCAACGATAAGCTCTGCCAACTCATATTTGTGACAAAACGTAGCAACTTGAAGTGGAACCACCGAGTCCCACATAACAGAGCGCAACACAACTAAGCCAGGAAAAGGTTTCAATGCTGTATGCATCCCACACACGTACCTAGACATGTGGCATGTTTACAGCAAACTCAGTCAAAGCGCAACACACGTCAACGAAGCAAACCGCGAATGGAAAGGAACCTCGCAGCCAAAATACAGCTGCCGATTCTTCACACTTCTCTCTCAAATTGTGAAGATGATGGAGAAACACTCCCTGCATTGCAAGGAAGCCCAAAGCACTCACCAAAGTCTTTGAGAACCAGAACATGGAATAATACCAGGTTTCACGGCATGCTGGCACTTCCTGCGTGGGGAGGGAAGCACAAACACAGGCGGGCGGCTCGTACCTCCAGCCGTCCCGCTGAAGATAGCTGAAGGCCCCATCCACGATGCTAGCGACGAACTGGCCGCCTGTGACGAAGAGCGTGTTGATGGTGACCAGCTGGCCTCTCAGGTGCGGAGGTGATGATTCGGCGATGTACACCGGTACCGTCATGGAGGCGATGCCTGGGCCAGGATACAGAGGGCAGACTCAACAAACCAGGCAAGTCAGTCTCAAAATGTACACATCGGTAAAAGGTACACAAAGGGGACTCAGTAAAAGTCAACATCAACCACTGGCAAACTGCAGCTAGGCCATCTGCATGCCAACAGCCAGCAAACAGCAATGCTGACAACGCCCAGACGGGCAACCCTGCTTTCATTACGCATAAACCACATGTGCCCCAGCACCATACAATCTTGCAGGACAGCGTGGGAATGACACTCCGCTTTCAGCCAACGTATCCACCTCTCCCTAATCCCCTAAATCCCAAGTCTCAACAACTACGATTTGCCGCTATAGTAACACTCCTAACAAGTCTGACAACACAGGCCCTAGAGCGGCCTCTGCGATGAGCCCATCCTGTACAGGGAAAGCGGGCACCTAGTGGTATGGAAATCTGACTGGTCCCAGCCGCTTGATACTAATGGCAGCTGTCTGAACTGGAAGAGATAAACAGCACGTGGAATAACAGACAAACCAGCAGAGCGCGTTTCACCAAATTCAGCAATGGGGACGTCAGCCCTGCTTGGAATGCAGTCTATTAATAGTCTCCGAACGCCGCTTCCTGGCAGACAACGTACCTGTTGCCATGGTGACCTAGCTCCACAGCTTGCATGGATGTTAATCAATAATCAGGGACAAGGGGGCCACAAGATTTACTGACATCTCATTACGATTCAGAAACAATGCCGGGAATTAAAAGCAGCCCAAAGTCAAAAGCAGCGCGGAGCAAGGTGAAATATTTGCATGTGCCAAAAATTCAGCTTTACCAATCACGGTCTAGGCCTTCGCCAACACCTCTCTGTAGAGCAGAGAAGATGGGAGATTGTACTGGAAAATCTGCTTTAGCAGATTATCACGCACAGGTGACCAGAAGATGTCTGGCAAAGTGAGTCAGGCATATTGGTGACTGCTGGATGGTTTTATTACCCAGCGTGAGGAGGAGGGAGGGAGCGGAGGGACTTGTCACTGTCAGCAGGGACGGGGAGAGCAGGAGGTGCTCTCCCTTCTCATTAGGGCAGTCTGCAGGGCCGCCAGCTCCAGAACACTCTGCAGAACTTGACAGGCACAGTCCTTCAAATTAACGCCCTTCTACGACCACAGAGAAGCAGGCTGAGCTTCCCAGCTGCCACTTACAGGTACGAGGGACTCTGCACAGATCACGTTTCTCAGCGAGCCAGAAGGAGCTCTTACCAAAAGTGAGTGAAGAAAGTGGGCATCAGGAACGGCACTGAGCTGCCCGCACCGCAGCCACGGGAACCTCACTTCCTGCACGTCTCACCCGATCCGCCAGGACTTCACTTATCTGCGCAGCAATCAAGTTCAACATGACATAGTTGGCCATAGGTGAGATATGGAATAATGGAGGGGCTGAATAAATCCCTGGATCTCCATAGGGGACGCTGCACACCAATCACTTGCTACAGAGACAGCCGATCATCTCCCTGATGAGATGAACGATCCGGCAGGCTGCAGAGACACAGAGCTACACAGATCTTAAGAACGCCCGAGGACTCAAATGCAGTGGAAAGGCGAAGACTCAGCATCAAGGCCCTAAAATTCATTCATACATACATACGTGCACTGGGATAACTACAGGTACAGCAATTCAACAGAGCAGCTCCTCTCTTTGAGAAATGTGCCTAGCATGACTGCAAACCACTTAACCGAGTTACTGGATGTAGAAAAACAAATGACTCACTTCTCATAAATCAGGCATTTTTCAAATCGTACAGACAAAGACTTGGGCACAAATCAGCAAGGAGTTATTAGTAACAGTGCTGCCTCACACTGCTGAAGCGGGTGGTAAACTAGGCAGTCCGAGAAGCGTGTTACTTTGGTAGCTCAGCAAACAGAGAATTACAAAATAAAAATCAAGTGCAGCGTAAAATGTATGCCCAGACCTCTTCAGAATCAGTGCAGAGTACAAGATGTTTTTGTCTGGGGTGAACTAAAAACAATAAGCTTAATCTTTTTGTGGAACGGTCAGTAAGCTCTGTGGAGGATAAAGGAGAGGTGGTCTGGCAAGGGGGTACAAGAGGGAAGGTGGAGTACAATATCGGTACAGGGGCATAGGAAGGAGAGGAGAAGTACAACATAATGATACGGGGGGGGGGAACAA